GGACTCTTGGCCTTGGGTGTTAGCTTGCAAGGTAAGCTTTCGTGTCCTCGGTTTAGCCATGTTGTGGTTCCACCATGTCCCATGGGGGTATGGTTATATGCATGCGGTGTTACATGCTTTGGATATTTGAAATGCTGTTGAGCTTTTTGTGTAATGGCTTTTAATATGCATGTGTTGTTTCATCTTGACGGTAAGCCTGAGTATGTGGCGTCATACGATATGGTGATCCGGGGTGAATGCAAGTAGCGTCTTGCACTAGTGTGGGTATTTGGCGTATGTAAATCCTGCATTTCTCTGGCCAGTAGAATAGAATTGACACACATGACATGATTATCTGCTGCATTGCACTATTTTAGAACTGATGATGATATCTGCTTTTAAACTTATATTGCACATGTAAGTGAGCTTGGGGTGGAAGATCCTTGAGGACCCCTTGTCTTACTGAGATTTCTTATTTAGAGATCTCACCCCACGTTTGGGGAATGCTTATTTCAGGTTCCGTTAGTTTGGTGACTGATGCCTCTGGCGGCAGGAGGCCAGAGCTTAGTTGATGATATTATGCTGTATTGCTGCCATGACTGGATATGGATGTTGTTTATATTTTTCGCTATTTATGCTTAGGTTGCTGTTGAGACTGATGTTGGGCGTGTTGCCTTATTTGAGTGAGCATGGGGATTGTCCATGACACTTTATGTTAGTACTTTAGATTGAAGTTGTATAAACTGTTAGATGGTCCGGTCTACGTTGTTGTAGTTCCGTGACTAGAGCCACACTTTTATTATCTATGTTATGAGGTATATTCAGATAGTTGTTTTATTGCAATTACATACAGGCGTTGTTTTATTAATTGATTAATAAGCAAGTTGGTAATGATAATGACATCATAATTGAAAAGAAAAAGATATTTCGCATTTTTATTAAGCGCTGCTTAATACGATAGTATGATAACATTGTCGGATATACACGGGGTGTTACAGTAGTAACTCCCCTTGTGTAGGATAGCCTGGTGGCAGAGACATATAGACTTCTTCATCAAGCTCCGCATGTAAAAAAGAATTATTGACATCTAGTTGAATTAGATGCCAATTATGTATGGCAGCAAGAGCAAGGAGAAGGCGGACTATGGTAATTTTTACAACAGGAGAATAAGTCTCCATGTAATCTAGGCCTTCTAGTTGAGTGAATCCTTTAGCAACCAAACGAGCTTTATACTGCTCAAGAGATCCATCAGAATTGTACTTGACTGGATACACCCACTTACAACCAACAAGATATTTTCCTGCAGGGAGAGAGACAATGGACCAGGTCTGATTATCTTTGAGAGCAGTGGTGGAGGCCGTTGGGTGCGAGATGGTCTAGTGGAATGATGATCAGAGGCTTCAGTGGAAATATTTGAAGGATCCGAATTTGACACATGAGGTAAAGAAGTTAAAGGAGTGGAAAAAAATTGGATGAGACAAAGGGAAAAATTAATTCATGAAACACAACATCCGTAGAGATGACAATTCGATTGGTAGACAAATCAAGAAGTTTGTAAGGCTTGTATCCAGGGGGATATCCCAGGAAGACAGCAGAAGAAGAGCGAGGAGAAAACTTGTGTCTGACCCGAGACAAAGTGGAATAAAAACATAAACACCCAAAGTTACGAAGATGAGTAAAAGAGGGAGGTTTGTGGGAGAGAAGTTCAAAAGGAGTTTTGTTATGAAGAAGTGGGGATGGAATACGGTTAATCAGATAAACCGTAGTGAGAACGCAATCGGACCAGTATGCTAGAGGAATATGGGATTGGAAATGCAGGGCACGGGCAACATTAAGAATATGTTGATGTTTGCGCTCAACAACAGAGTTTTGTTGAGGCCTTTCAACACAAGAATGAAATATTTGAATGCCTTTAGAAGAATAAAATTCAGGAAGATTGAACTCAGGGGCATTATCACGTCGAATGGACTTTATAGGAGATGAGTACTGAGTAAAAATCAAATTATAGAAAGAAGGACAAAATGTTGAAAATTTAGAATTATTTTTCAAGAAATGAACCCATGTAAACCGTGTAGCATCATCAATGATGGTTGGAAAATATTTATCACCAGAAACAGAAACGAGGTTAAATTATCACAGTGTATTAAACTAAAAGCATTTGAAGACATTTGAGGATTTAAAATGAGTGGTAACTTTTTTTGCTTATATAAAGGACAAACAGAACATGGTGTATGTGATAAAGTATCTGTAAAATGCAAGGTATTTTTCATTGATTGTAAAAGGGAAGGGGATGGATGGCCCAAACGAGTGTGCCATAATACAGAAGAAGGAAAATTAGCAGAAAAGCAAAGGGGATGGGGAACATCTGAAATGGGGTAAAAGTTCGAAGAATCAAAAAAATATAAGTCACCTGTGAGCCTAGCAATCCCAATTGTCTTGTGAGTTGTAGCATCTTGGAGAAGACAAAAAGAACCGGAAAAAAGAGCAACAATGTTAGAATCCCTTATAAGAGCACTAATAGAGATGAGATTTAGTGTAAAGGACGGAACCAGAAGAACATGATGCAAAATCAACGATGAAGAAAGAGGGGCATCTCCAATAGAAGAAATCGAGATGCTAGAACCATTAGGAGGAGAAATTGAAGCAGCAGAAGAAGGAAAGGAAGGATGAGAAAGAAGAGAGGAAAGGTAGGTGACATGGTGTGTGGCACCAGTATCAAGTACCCAAAAATTCGATGAAATGGAGGAGGAAATCTTACCACTGAAGCTTGCGATCATGGGATTTGCAGTAGATGAGGTTGCAGATGGCAAATCGGACGAGGATGTAGCGGTGGTGGGATCAGGATATTTTGTGAGAAGGGAAAGTAGTTGGTTGTACTGAGTGGGAGTGAGGGGATCGTGTGGTGGAGAAGGATTGGGTTGGGATGTGGTCATATGAATTTGGGCCTGGTGTTGGGATGGGTCAGATGGGGGTCTAGGGCTTCTGGGTTTATAACCCAGAGGAAAACCATGGAGCTTGAAACATTTATCACGCACATGGCCCAATTGCTGGCAGTGGGTGCAATAAGGACGAGAACGTCGTGGGGCTAAGACGGTGGAAGTGACCGGCGATGAAGCCATAACAGAGCTTGCAGGAGCATTAGATGTTGTATTCACCATCAGAGTATCAAGAGATGGTTGGAAAATGGGTGTGATTTGTCGCTAACGTTCCTCTTGTATGACCAAGGAGAAGACGCGAGACAATGGAGGCAGTGGTTCCATGAGTAAGATCTGTGCTTTGATTGAAGAGAATGAGTCATTTAACCCCATTAAAAATTGCATTGCATAATCTTGTTGTTGGAAGGTTGATAAAAGCCGAAAGCATCGCAAGTGCAATTGAAATTAGGGGAATAATCTTGGAGTTCATCCCAGAGAATTTTCAGCTTTGTGTAATAAGTGTTGACATCAAGACTCCCCTGATGCAACGAAGAGATTAGCTGCTTTAATTGAAATATTCGTGGTCCGTTGGCTTGATGAAATCTCACACGAAGATCCTCTCATAAATCATATGCGGTGGAAAAATACATAAGGCTGTCAGCAATCTCTTTTGAGACAGATTTGAGAAGCCATGATGTTACCATAGAGTTGCATTGGTTCCAAGCTGCAAATAGAAGGTCAGAAGCTTCAAGTCGAAGAAGGCTGCCATCAACGAAACACACTTTGTTCTTGGCAGTAAGAGCAATAAGCATTGCTCGATTCCAGGAGTTAAAATTGGGACCAGTAAGGGAGTGGGTAACCAGAATAAGACCAGGATGATCACCATTCTGGAGGTAGTAAGGGCTTGCAGAATCCTCCACGGGAGCAGAGGAAGGAGTGGCATTAGTAGCTGAAGAATTGGATGAAGTAGGGATGGTGTTTTTGCCACCACGAGCCATGGATAGAGGCTCAGAGGTCAAATAAATTCATCTGATACCATATTAGAAGAGAAGATTGAGGGAATTTGTTACTGATTTCATTTTGGAAAAATCTCATCTGTATGTGTACATGGAGCAAGGCTCTTATATCACTCACTGTAACAGAAAAGAAAGAGAAGAAATAACAAACTGCACTAAAAGGTGTGTGTGGTGTGTATGACACATGGGCCCAATAACAGAATACCTATACATCAACAACTAACTATTAAAAATAATAAAATTATATATTCTAATAAACCGAGTCCGATACAATCAAATGATAATTTTTATAAATAAAATCATAATTTTTCAAAAACTTATATGCATATAATAAAAAATTAAAATAAAGAGTTAAATTACAAATAATTTCTACAAACTCAGAACAAAAGAAGTTGTTACATCAATTCAAAAGGAAAATACTCTTTCTTCATTCGCTCCAAATTAAATGCTTAAATTTATTCAAATTGAAACAAACACACAAATAATTTAGTCACCAAATAATCAATTTTGTTTCATTTTTTTAAGTTATTGAATATAAAATATAATATATACTATATATATATATATATATATATATATATATATATATATATATATAAAAAAACATTACTTAATATTAAAATGTACCACATGTATCGAAATCTAATTTTTGTTTTAGAATTAAAATATCAAAGTGTACTGAGGTGTCATTATTACTTATAGCAGGTCACACAAGTTGAATCTTTGATTTTATAGAAATTGCAAACTTAAATAATTTTATAATATATTACTCTACATGACAGGAAAATAACCATTACACATGAAATTTCTTATATTATTTTACACTAATTAACCATGTATACATTTTATCTGTTAATAACATTTATTATTGAAAAAAATATTAATTCTTTTAAAGAACATATAATTATATCATTTAAGTAAAAAAAAAATATAAATTAATATTTTTTATTTAAATTTATAATTAAAAAAATTCTCATTTTCTCGTTTATAAATTTTATTAGTTGTGTCTTTCTCTTAGTTAATATAACACATCGTTTTATTAACAAACTAGTTGGTCATTACGATATAATTGGTTATCTAATAAGAAGTACAAAGCGCTAAGGCATAGTGAGCGGTGAGGGGCGGGCCATGGTTTCGCTTCATCCAGTAGCGTCTCCTTTCTCTGTTTCCTCTTCTTCATCCTCTTTTCTTAGCGACTCTATTCAGTTTCGTCGTTTTTCCCCAAAACCGAGAAGCAGCTTCGTAACTAAAGGTCGTTTTTTCTTCTTCTGCAATGCTTCATGGCAAGAGGTACGTTGCTGTTATTTTCCTTTCGTAGTTTCTATTTTCCAATTGTTACTGTTTCCATTAGATGATTCAAGAAAAAAAAATGTTCCGATTGAAGCTTGCTGGAGTTTTACTATTCTCAGCGATTCCTTTCACCGCCGTGAAAGCCATAGCTAATAGTTCGTTGGGAGAATCGCTTCAGCGGAAAATGGAGGAGACAAAGAAATTTTCTGTTGAAAACTCTTCCAAATTCAAGGCCTTCGCAGAGAAGGCCAGAAAGGAGAGGTAATTCCTGGTAAGCAAGTGTATACATCGTGTTTCAACTATACGGTTCGGTTCGGTTTTTGTATGAAAAAAACCGAACCGGTAAAGCGAGTTTATCCTCTGAACCAAATGCTCAGGTTCTTAAACCGAATTTAAAAATAGTTTTCTTAAACCGGTTCAGTTTTTCGGTTCGGTTCGGTTCACATTATATTTTACACTAGGTATGGTTCGAAAAATCAGTTGAACAGTTTATTGTATTTGTGAGATGTGATGAATGTTATCAATTTCATATACGTGAGATATAAACCAAAACCGAAGCACTCTTTTTTTTTTTTTTTTTAAATTCAGTCTTAAATAAATTTTCAGCTTTAATGGTGTATTCTTTTGTTCAAGGTATGGTTTTGATTTTAGCAAAACTAATTGGTGAAAATTTTTCAAGTGGTGCAGATAACATTTGCTCTTGCTGGCTATTATAATAAGAATATGAGTAGCATTGCGTATCCCCAACCCAACCACAGTGAAATTCACAAGCTATGCTGTTGTGAATCTTGACATGTTACTTCATGTCTTACATTGATACAAATAATTTTTGTGTATTCAATTCTTTAGAATATCCAAGAGATAAAAAAATTTGGAATTATCATTTCTAACATGATTATTATTCTCATTGTTGTTTGTGTCTAAAATTTGTGCTCATTCCATTGAACATTCACTAAATTTTCAGTTTTTGGTATGGAGAAGATAGACCTCGTTGGCTTGGTCCTATTTCATATAGCTACCCATCATATCTTACTGGGGAACTGCCTGGGGATTATGGCTTTGACATTGCTGGGCTTGGCAAGGATCCTGTGGCACTGAAGAAATACTTCAAGTATGACATATTTTGATTTTTTTTTGTCTCCGTGGAAGTCATTATACATGTGTTATTGCTGCTTGTCTAGTATGATTTTTCTCATATGATGACATGTTTGATTTTTAGTTACTCATGTTTATTCCACACCAGTAGCAAATATAAAGTGTATTTAATTGTTATGATGTACTATGGGCATCAAGCTCATGTAATGTGAGGAATATCTTTTAAATAGTTTATGAATCATCGAAAAAATATTTATTAATGATATCTTTGTATTGTGTGAATTTTTGTTGAGTTTTAGATAGCCAAATGATCATTTTAACCTAGTTTATCATTAAGCTTTGAGATATTGCATGCTCGGTGGGCTATGCTTGCATCTGTCGGTGCTCTAGTTCCTGAAATATTAGACCTATTGGGAGCCTTTCACTTTGTAGAACCTGTCTGGTGGCGTGTTGGTTATTCAAAGCTCAAGGTTAGCATGTCCTGTCTCTTTTACCATCTTTTGTACAGTTTTGCTTATCAATTTTGTTGATATTTATCATACACAAGTTTGTACAATCAAATATATAGCTATTATCCATTACACACTCCTTGAATCTATTAATTAAAAGGGAAAATTATGTTTTCTTGAAAATGTTCTCAACAATTTGTTCTCCATAAAGCTGCAGACGCTCTAGACATGTTTATTGTAGCTTTTGACATCTTTTGTATCTTGTAATGGTTGGTTTGATCATATTGTTGTTTTCCTCCCTCATCTCATTGACAATATGGATAGCTGACATTGTTATAATAAATAATTTATTGGGAAAAATATGTGATTCGTGCACATGCAAATGAATGTTTACAAGTGTGAACAAGGATCTTCATCATCTCTGCTTTTTTTAATGAATAGGAGAGGGTCTTGTAATGCGAGAAAAAGACATAACATGATCATTTTCGTCTCTCATAACATGATCACCTGCTGCTCTTGAGGAAAATGAGAATCCATATACTAAGAAGCGCAAAGAACAGTCACTAGAAAAAAAAAAAACGGATACTAATTTTTTCATGGGAGGCCTCAAATGAAGGGAAAACCTTAGGACAAATTCTATCTAAAAACTTAAGCTATTACATGGAGGCTCAAGATTTGTTTTATATCCATTATTTTGTTAATTGGAACCAGTTGATCAGTTTTTACTTGTTGCATGAGAATAAATTCAGTTGCATATTCATACACTGTTGGGCTTACTTTATGATTTTGTATACTTCTATGCTGAGTGAACTCGTAAAGATAATTATAATGATGTAATTGACATTCCTCTCTCTTGAGTCTTTCAATCTTGACAGGGAGATACTCTGGATTACCTTGGCATACAAGGTCTTCACTTAGCTGGAAGCCAGGGAGTGGTTGTGATTGCTATTTGCCAAGCACTCCTTATGGTAATGCTCGTCATATCCATTATCCACCTTACTTCTAGTGACATTTGTCTTCCAATATTAGAGTGTTTTTTAGCCCATGAGATGTGAGTGGTGACTTGGTGTACCATATGATTTCAGATTTTCAACTATGTTGTATTGGATGAAGCAGTCCATTTTAATAGTACAAATGAAACCAGTTAAAAAACCTTTCCAGGCATTTCGCCCGTGATCCTTCATAGGTGTTCTCTTGAAATACCTGAATGCAACTATAAATTTGAAAGTTAAATTACTATCCCACCCAAAATTAAAGAAACTATACTGACATTCGTAACCAAATCTTATATGGGCCAAAATCAAAAGTTTCTATAATTGGAGCTACTTAACTACAAGACTTGTTCTTTTTTGGATAGTCATCTGCATCTGCATATGGCTGTGCCAGGAATACTAATTAGAGATTCTTATTATTAAACAGGTTGGACCAGAATACGCTAGATATTGTGGGATTGAGGCATTGGAGCCTCTAGGGATATATCTTCCTGGTGATATAAATTATCCTGGAGGAGCATTGTTTGATCCCTTAAATCTGTCCAAAGATCCTGAAGCTTTTGAGGAGCTGAAGGTGAAAGAAATAAAAAATGGACGCTTAGCAATGATTGCCTGGTTAGGTTTTTACATGCAAGCAGCTGTGACGGGTAAAGGTCCTGTGCAGAACCTTGTTGAGCACATCTCCGATCCTTTTCACAATAACTTGCTGGGCTCACTCAACTTCATGAAAGTAGTCTAGTAATATTAGAAAGGAATTTCACATACATTCGGTTGCTCTTTTCTATAAATTTTGCGTAGGGAATTCAGGTCAAAATGGTATAGCCGCGATGATTATGTGGTTCTCTACATTGAATAGTTAAATCTAAGTATAAAAGAGAATTCAATTCTCATATTGTGACCTTTCAATTTGCGTGCAAAGTTTTTTTTTTCGCTTTTTAACAAATGTAGTGTCCACCACTAGTTGAGTCACAACATGAGAATTCAATTCTCATGCAAAATGAGAAAATAAACTCCATAAAAGAAGCATTGTTTTTCCTTTTGTGAAAGGTACTAATTAGTTTTGGACAAATTTTTGAAGAGATATTCTTGAGCACGGATGATGTTAGACAACCTTTATAACATACATGGGATGTGTGTTATGTGGGTAATGAGTAGCATTAAAATAGTCAACGTCACATTTACTTAAAGGTTTACAGTGTAACCTTGTGATTATTTTTTTATCTTTCGCAATAGAGTGTGATCTTATTATTATCCATGCACTAACAATGTTTAGCATTAAGAGGGTATTTGGAGGTGAATCTCATAGGTTGAATTTGTTGCATACTGAGAGGCAATGTCAATAGAATAGTACAAATTGTGTTTGTTATTTGTTGGATTACTAGTAAAATTTGTCATTTTCATTGGTAGGGTTGGGGGAAAATAAATAAAACAGCCTATGGCTTAGTTCATTCTTTTTAGCCCATTTTAACATAATGTATTTAGTAAACAAAATAAGTTTAAACTTTTATCAAGGTATAACTTGTTCTCAAGGGTCACATTGACTGAGTTTGAACTTTGAACTATCATGTAGCCAACCCACAACAGTGCCTCTAGAACTCTTAGTCCAAATTCTAAACAATTTCAAATCATTCTTGTTTAACATTCCCTTTTATAGGATGGTTTTTATTGGACCCAATTTGGGCTCGGCCCTTAACATTTACCAAAAGACAAAAGTCATCTTTACTCCTTATTCCCTCACTTCCTCATGCATGTGTCCCTCTCACGTGAGGGGTTACACAAGCTCACACCAGAGTAGGGCTCATAGAAAACCATCACATTGATATTCATCCCATCCTAATACTTTACTTGAGCATCCTCATACATCCAGAACTAGGCCCTAGCACAACACTTCCCGCATTCTCAGCCCTTGCCTGAGACGTTTCATCACATATTTAACAATAGAGCTCGTATTTTTTATATTCATGCCTCTCTAGATCTCTTTATATTGATCCTTGTAAGTTGTACCCCATTTGTGGGTTGACAAGTCATCTCTACTGTCGCAACCGGGGTCATGATGGGACGACGAAAGAAACATGAAATGCATGGAGTCGCCGCCATCAAGACTTATTTAATTGGAGATTAATGTTTGTGGAGATAATTTTATGACACATAGATTGATTTAATTGATTTAACACACGCGCCCACAACGATTAATGTTTTTCCTGTTACACAAGATAATGTTATCTCTAGCAAGCCTAAAACGATATCCGGAGCAAGAAGATTAAATACCAACTCGGGATTAGTCCTATAGCCAATTCAAAGAATTAATGCTTGTGGGGAAACAAGGTGGCCGACTCACTTCAAACAGATATTTTAGGATTAGTATGCCAAATATATATATGGGAAAAGTATTTCTACAGCCATAAGGTTATCTACCGCCACCATTTTTAACTATGTTCTCCCGAGAAAACATAGTTATAACATTAAATTTTCTTTTTTTTCTCTCTCCACGTTAGCAAACAGGTTCTGAAAAGTAACTGAGGAGAGAGAAAAAAAAAACAATTATAGCTATGTTCTCCCGGAGAACATAGTTAAAAATGCTGGCTGGCTGCAGAAATGTTTACCCGTATATATATATATATATATATATATATATATATATATATATATATATATAATTTAATGTTTCTAAAGTGAATGTAGATAAGTTATCTACATTCACTCCCAAAACGACGTCGTTTTGGATTTAAAAATAAAAAAAATATAATGAAAAAAGCTATTATAACTCTGAAATAAATTATAATTACAAAAATAACTTAATTTTCGCCTTAAAACGACATCGTTTTGGGCTCACTGTAGATAAGTTATCTACATTGACTATAGAAAAAGAGAACTCATATATATATAATTTAAAAATAAAAAGTATACCTTATAATAAAAAATTCAATTCACGCGTTAATAGAAAATATAAATAAGTCAAATTTATAGTTTGAGCATAATTAAATTGATCCCGTGTAAAAATATAGGCAGAACTTTTTAATTTCAATTTGAAAATTTTTCGAGTATAAATAAGTTCCAACTGATAATACCAAAAATAAACATAAGGATATTCACTCTCCATATATTGGAATGGAGTTTTATAATTAGCTCATTCCTAATGATTTTAGTTAGATTTAACATATCTGACATCATAATTATCTGGTTTCTAACTAGTTTAGATAGATTTCATTTATCTGATGTCAGTTATATGTAACTGTGAATGTATATCTTTCCCAATTTCACTGTAATATGATAATACTTTTTACTGATACTTTTTATTAGTAAAAAAATTTGAATATAAAGATGATCTTTTTAAAGCTTGTAGATCATCAAAACTCAAAGTACACAAATGTTCTTTGACAACCCCTTTTTTTATACCAAATTTATCACTTAATTAATCAACTTAAAAAAATTTGAACAAAAGTGGTGCTCATCATGTCGTATATGGTTAAGTTATTTTATCATAAAACCGTTATTTTTTTCTCACTATCATAAAATTTTAATAAAACCAAACTTAAATTAAAGAAAATTAAGTTTATGAAATAATTTAATTTAATTAGTCTATAAATATTTTACCAAAAAAAATAGTCTATAAATACATCTTTAAAGATTTTAAAGACTTTCTTACTTTAGGCATTTTTTACCAGTGTTGATATACCTGAATCGGCCTGGCTAGTCGACCTAGGAAACGGGAAATCGGTCATATAATCGATCCGGATGAAACAGCGGAACGGTCAAGCATTGGAACCGGTGCGTCCCGACTGATTTTGGTGAAAATCGGTGACTCCACCCTATTCATAAAAAAAAATGTTTTCCAAAAAAAAAATCATAAAGGATATTATTTTTTTAAATTCACAAATAGTTTTTTTTTTTTGAAATATTTGGATGATTTGTTGCTTATTGACTTACATAGATTACATACCTACAACACTAATATTATCTTTGTTATGCAATATATAAGAAATTTTGATTTAATTTATAGAGATGTCGTCTACTGAACCTGAAGTACCAGTATCACAAGTATTATGTATTTGTTTAATCCTTTTGTTGGATAATGATATGTGATTTATTATTTTTTATATTAAAATATTTAAAATTAATATTTTTTTTTACAAGTATTTAAGTATGTTTATAGGTTTTTTAACATAAATTATAAATTTGCATATAGTTACGGATCATGTAGTTAAACAAGTAATTCAGTAACTCAATCGAGTCAATCAGCAGGCTTAATAACATTGTTTCTAACCTTTTTTTTGTATGTATCGGTTGGATTTCTTATCCGGGCTCTCAAAAGTTGTCCATTTTGAAAACAAGAAAAAGTTTCCCCAAACACCAAATAAAATTCCAAATAATACACTACAAAAATAATTTTTTCCATATTTGCGCTGACACTCTTATTTTGTGAAGAATTGTGTTACTTGAACAACTTTTTGTTTTTAATAAATTACTTGAAAAACTTTAGTATACACAATAACGCGTAATTACAAAAAATGCTCTATAAATTTAAGTAAAAATACAAGAGTATGTACGTCGTTTGTACACTATTCTCTCTTGTGCAACTATGGAAATAAGCTAATCTACAAAAATATTAACAACCACTAAATTAATTGAAGTCTCTCTTAGTTAGTTAATATCTTTATCTTGTCTCTGGCCGATTTTTCAAATTCACTCCCCAATTTTCTGTAGATATTTCAAATTCATATTTACTTGAAAGAAAATGTTAGTTACTTAAAGTTTTTATACAAATTATCCACAAACTTATGCACAACTTGTATGTATAAGCAGCTCAGTTTTCTTAAAGGGGCAGCTAGTACACCAGGTTATAGATCACCAATGGACTGTAAAAAATACAGAGGTTTGCATAAGTGCACAAGCCCTAAAATCGGAACAAAAGCTGGTGATCCACTAGCCCTTAGTTAAAATCAAACTTCATTCACTCAAAACATTAATCTGGACTCGCTTGAAGAAAATAAGAGACTACATTCATTGATCAGTAAGATCTGGTCAAACATGAGGGATAGAATCGGTTAGATCTAGGTTAGATCATTCCATCAATTAGCGAACCCCAAGTAGACTTTCTTTTCTTTTCTTTTCTTTTCTTTTTTTTTTTGGTTGTTTTTTAAAGGAAGCCGCAAATTAATACACAGATAACAGATAATCTGTTCTGGATTGATTAACTAATTCTTAGTCATGCCAAATCACATTCTCTTTCCTTCTCGTAAGCTTCTTCCCCTCCTATAGTCAACCTCTGCATCAGAGCACGATAACCCCATCTGATATTTCCTGCTGATTCTGGATGACCCCATTTTTGAGAATATATCCTCATCATCCATGAGAGTATGTCTATCTGGTGTACTTAATCCAGAGCCGTTGCTACAATTCCCTTGTGATTTATGATCTGACGTGCAAGAAAGGAACATATTTGCTTAGACACATAAAGAAAACGGTATGAAAAAGTTGAAGTAAAGGCAAGACATCCTACTCAGCTAAATGCATACAACCATTCAAACACAAAATTACCCTCCATCTTTTTCAGTCTACTATGATAATCCATATTTAATACTTTATCACCTTAATATATGTAAAGAACCAATTCAATTCAAAAGCTTAAGCTGATGGGTGAGGCTACATTAATAGTTTTATATATCTCTAACACATCCCCCCAGACGAGAGTCCATTGGACTTGAAGGATGGATGATGCATTAAGCCCAACATACCTATACTAAAAAATTCCACAAGAGAAAGTGGGGTGGTGAGAATTGAACCTATGACACCGAGGCTCTGATATCATGTAAAGAACTAATTCAACTCAAAAGCTTAAGCTGATGGCTGAGGCTACACTAATGGTTTTATATATCTCTAACAATATACAAAGAAGACCAATATACCTTAAATCTTACCAGAGGAAAAAAAATGTTATAACTTTCTAAACCCATTAAAAGAAAGTACAGCAGACTCCAGTTATTAAAGTCATATCATATATAACAAAACCACTTCCCATTAAACCACAACTAACAAGGGTAGGGTGATATCATATATAATATTGACACAAAATCATAATTCATTTATAAGTGAGCTTCTCTATTTTCTTTTTCTATTTCCATTGTTTCTAAAGATGTAATGAAACAAATCATATTTAGATCAAGTATTTACAACAAACCTTCATATCCTTGACATATTGAGACCTGATTGCGTGCTTCCTTGCCAACAGGAGCTGGATCTAATCTAAGGCTTTTCAAACTCTGCAATGCCACCTGTGTCTCCTGAGCTTTGAATCCTTTCATTAATGATGGTTCTATGCTTTCTTCCATTGTTGACTTGCCTGCTGAGAAGGGCATCATCGTAAATGAGTCCTCCATTACATCAGAAATCTCCACGTATTGAGAGGTAGTTATAATCTCATCTGCACTGAAACCAAAGGATGCTCGGTAAGCTTCTATTTCTTCCACATCTTGTTTAGGACTCCTAGCATGCCTACTCTGATGTCCATTTCCACCAGTAGATTGAACATCAGAATCTTTCGAAACGCTTAGTCTCCCACCATTATGAGGAAATGGAGGATTTTGGTCTAAATAGAATTGTGCATAGGTAGCAGGGCAGAAGAAATTTGTATCTAGACCATTTGCGTCATACCCAGACTGCCTCCCACAGTCAATTCTCGGATATTTTCCACTTTCAGGAGATAGAGATGGATCCCACTGTGGGCGGAACTCCCGTTCAGGAAAAGAGGATGATAAACAGTCACCAGAGTTCCTTGATATTGGAGATTTAAGGCTACTGGCAGGACTTCCAGGGTAAAGTGCTTGAAGATCATTTGCAGTGATGTAGTTACTCTTGTCACTGTTTTTGAGATCCACTGAAGATGATAGAAAATGCGCAAAAGGTACATCTGGGGAAGAGGGAGTTGTTAAGTGAGCCAATTCTGGAGGAGGAGTGAAAGGAGCAGTAGACGGCTCAGTAGTGAAATTTGAGAAGACTGGAGGAGACACCAGTTGTGTTTCGTGAGCATATGGCCCAGTGGCATACATTGTAGATGAAGGACCTCCAGGTGAGTTGGCAGATAATGACATGAAACAACTAGGTGATTGCGCAGTAGAAGGTAGGGCAGAATGCGTAAAGGAAGCCGGTGAAGAAGGTGGGGCTAAGAGAGAAGGAGCTAGCCCTGTAGCTTGATTGGTCAAACCAACTACTTGAGGCCCATTTGGCTGAGTAGCTGATCCATTGTTCTCAGGAATGCGAGATGCAGGTACAATACGCTTCCCACCTTTCTGTGAACCAAAACAAGAAAATGCACCCAAACATCCACCCCATCTCTTTCGCTGCAATGCAAGTCAAGCAATATAGACTTACTCAAAGGAAAAAGGTGATTAATAACAGGTAGAAATGAAAAGAAACAATAAATCTTGAGAATTCTTTTGATATTTAAGTTTTTAACAAGAATTGAACCTCCCAAACATCGTTACTTCTTTTAACTCTTCAACACAAATATCAATAAATGGGAGAGATCAACTTACAACAGTGTAGGTCTAAAAACTCTTATTCCACTTATTAACCGTTGATTTTACTTGTATCTAACAGTTTTAATTTATTGAAGATGAACATCGTTAAATGCAAGTAGAATCAATGGTTAATAAAGGGTGAAAGAGATTTGGACTTGTATGGGTGTTAAGTTGACCTTCCCCTGATAAATATTAAGTACTCCCCGTTAAACCCGACTAGCAAGTGTGGAGTGGAGAAAATCCTTGTATGCAGCCTTACCCTTGCATAATTGCAAAGAGGCTGTTTCCTGGATTCGAACCCATGACCTTTCAGTCATGAAGGAACAGTTTTACCACTGCTCCAGTTCGTCCCCTTTCCCCTGATAAATATTATATTATTAAATTGTTACCACAATTTTAGGAACTAGGAGATAAAAGCTTACACTTTGTATTCACAAAGTATGTTTTAGGATCTAAGTTTATATGTGGACAAAACTTTATGAAAACTGTCAAAGAGATTACTAAATTAACACATTATACATAGCAAGGTTTAATGATCTAGTGTCCCTTCAGCTCCTTGATTCTAGTATTCTCACCCTTAATCTATCCAGGACAATATGGCCTTCAGATTGTTTTTTATGTAATTTTGCCCCAGTTTTTAACCCACTCTCCTAATCACCAGCAGTTTCTCCTTGACAAACCCATTTGTAAATTTAAAACTCCCTACGGTTAAGTCTTTCATTTCAAAATTGTATTTAACAGAACTAACACAAATGACATGTTCCACTTCCGAGATTCTTAGATTTCACACAGCTCTTTCTCCTAATACACATCATGTAGCACATTTATTTTTGCATCATAAGGGATCAACTTTATTATGGAATAATCTGTTTGGGATTTTTGGTGAACATAGGGTGCATCCTCTCACCTTGGAGTGATTTCTCATGATACATTTTAAAGGTTTTGGCAGGAAAAAGGAGGCTACGATTATATGGAAGGGGAAGTTTATGCAGTTCTTTGGTGCATCTGGTCGGAGAGGAATGCCATACTCTCAATGGTCTCTCTCTATCCTTACTTTCATCATGGGATAGGATTATGTTGTTGGCTTCTCTTTGGAACTAACATGCAGTGATTGGAAAGCCTTACTGGTTTTCCGAACCACTTATCATTTTGGTTCATTACTTCGCTGTTTTCTTTTCTCTTTTCAAGAGAATATTTTTGTCCCTTCATGGATGTATATTCTCTCCTTTGTTTCAATTAATGCCTTCTTTTATCAACAAGAAAAAGAGGGCATAAGATTGATGGAGTCCATCCTGCATTCATCTTGAAAACATGAAGATCACTGAAATTCTGGCAATTAAAATGTTATCAATGAAGAAATGAGATCATAAATATCGGAAGGAAACAAAACAAACAACTGAAAGTTGCAGGCCTGTAAAAGCTAGAATAGTTTTACTACCCAAATATATTTGTGTAATATAATCACTTTTCTACATAAATAGAATGGATATTCGAAACAAGAACTTTAAATCATTGGAAAAGGTTCACTTTTGGTTTTATGTAATTTCTACCAATTGCAGCGCTGTTTTGTGTTCACAAGGACATTGAGCAAAAGGAGGCTAAGTTGAACTAGATTCGGCTTCCGAATTTTAAGTGTTAACATATAATACCCCAAGGCTGGTTTGTTCTCATAATGTTTCATCTCGGGAAGCAAAGAGATATTCGCTTAATGATATTTTATTCCTCAACCAATACAATCCTATGCAAAGCATCAAGCTATTTTGTTTCCATGAAATGATCAATCCGAGTAAGATAATGTTTACAGTGTCAAATGGCATAACTAAATTTGGAGCACCGAAGGAAATCTTTTAACTTTTTAAGTTAATCTATGGGTTGAGAGAAAAGAAAAGAAAAGAAAAAGAGGCACAGAAGAGGAGCAGGACAGAACAGGGTTTCTTATTGAGAAGAATAATTGACCACTTTTTAATAAATATTTGACAACTGTACTAAATCAATTCAGGAGAAATGATAGAAACAAAAATGTGACAAGCTCAAGATAGGGAATGGAAAACAAAACAACACACTACAAGGAACAAGAAACTTATCTGAACCCTGAACGGGAAAATACGGTACTAATATATCCATGTGCATTTTATCTTAGTCCCTTCAATTTCTTTTCATGTTTCCTTTTCAAGCAAACATTTTTGAGATACTTTCTTTGAGATTTTTTTCCTACCCTTTTTTGACATAAAATATTATTAGAGAGAAGGAAGAAAGATTTCAGAATAGTGGAGGATAAGTTATCCTCTGAAACAAAGGTGCAAAGAAAAATCATGGAAAAGACAAAGAAAACCTTCAATAAAATCAAGCCATCCAAATTTCTTTATGTATCTGTTAGGAAGGCTCCCTCATAGGCAGTAATTTCAGGGAGTTATGACTTCTTCCTTAATCTTATAATTCCCCTTGCCCCACTCTTTCCATCCTCATCACATAACAGTTAAAGTGTTGAATGATCTTGGATTCGGAAGTCAAGACAGAAAAAACCATATAAGTTTTCAATCTCGTTTTGTTTGTCAATTTGCACAACTTTTTGAAATTATAAATCCTTTTATTGGACAACTCTCAGAAAATCTGAGATAAGGTTTGCATTTACAAATAAATTTAAGCTGCTAAATAAAAATTATTAAAAAATATAAGACTCGTTGCCTTCTCACCCCACATGTCCTTAAATAATGATTGCAATTACAATAATTTAGAGCTACCCATAAATTTATAGTTATGTATGACTCATTCTGCAAAATTTCAATTTCATTTTCAGGGGGCAATATTTTTTCTACATTTTGTGCCTTTGTTTTCCCCGTGTGAATGACAATATCAAAAGTATGTTGATATTTTATACCAGCAGTAATTAACTAATTGCTAGTAAGCTTTAAAGTGTAAGATTCTTCTAGCTTCAATCTACAAGATATATTCTTGTTTTTTATGATCAAATATATACAAAACAATATAACATTATTAGCCCACCATTCCATGCCTAAAGTAAATTAAGCATTCGGTTGACATACACATTCCATCCATCTCTTACACAACCCACCCACACAACACACACGAAGAAAAAGAGAAAGGAAAAAGGTCTATTTGGTTAGTAAAAGTGTTAGAAAAGTATAAAACCATTAGCATAGCCTCACTCAACAGCTTAAGTTTTTGAATTGAATTGATGCTTTACATGGTATCAGAGCCTCGGTGTCACGGGTTCGATACTCACTGCCCCTCATTTAATTAATAATTAATTAAGTCTTTTGGAGTGTCTTAACACGGGTAAGTGGGCCTGTGCATTGTCCACCCTTCAAATCCAGTGAGCTCTCGTATGAGAGGGCGTGTTAGAGAAGTATAAAACCATTAATATAACCTTACTTAACAACTTAAACTTTTAGGTTGAAGTGAAGCTTTACAAAAAGAAAGAAAATGAAGTAAAAAATCTATTGTTTATATAAGTGGCATGTTTTCTTTCCATGCATACCCAAAAATAGAAAAAGCTCGATTAGTTATTAACAGAAGTGGTTTGCTATCTTATTTTTATTGCATATTGGACACGAGACCCTGATATTCACAAGACTAATGGCAGTAGCCGAGGCTTCAACATAGAGGATTCTCAATGGCATTTCAAAATCAAGGTTAACCTAACACAACATAGCATGAAGACAAGTGTGGATGTACTACTATGGACATAGAGTTTAACTAAAACATCGAAATTAAACAGAAAAAAAAAAAATATCAATTGCACCAAAGGAATTAAAGTAGATCACTCTTCACTCTAATTTACGGGAAGAATATAATTTCTATAAAAACTAAGAATTCAGCCATCAGATCCATCCAAGTTTAGCTCAGACAACAACAAATACAAAAAGAAGAAGATCAAATCATGAAAATTCGACTAATAGAAGCAAGTTCAACCGTAACACGAAACAGAAAAGCAATGGTGCACAATCAGTAATCATCACAGTTATAAATGCAATTACCGCGAGATCTGAGAAAGACATGTGCTCATAAGAGTAAAAACAGCAATGAACAATCGAAAACAAACAAAATTGGAGTTAGGTTACGTGCTAGGTACCTCAGATCTAACCCCAAAAAACCTTCTTTGAGTCGCAAATAATGTATAAAGCATAATTTCGAGTAATTTAGAAATGAAATTTGCAAAGAGAGTAAATAGAAGGATGGGAGAGAGAGAGAGAGAGAGAGAGAGATACCCTTTCATGCTGAGGAAATCGATTTTGTTCGGAACCCATTAGATTAAGTAGGTGTGTTGTTACACTCTACTAGAACTGTCACGTTGTTGCAATAAGCTTAAACAAAACCAAGATCGTTCTCACATTTCTCTTCTTCAGAAGCTGACACTACTTGAACTTTTGATGTGAAGAGAGAGAGAGAGAGAGAGAGAGAGAATATTAAATAATTTATGATAACAATCAAAGGATGAAGAGAGACAAAAGCGAAAAAGACTCGAGTGTGATGAAGATAGAGAAAAAGCGATCGTGTGAGACCGTGACAATGGCGATGCTTTTTTTTTTTTTTGTTAAAATTATTATTATTACTGAAAAAACACGCATACTAGTTGAGAAAAAATAATGAAAAATAAGAATACGTATATAATGCTATCCCAAAAAAAAAAAAAAATACGTATATAATATGTTACTGAAAAAAAAAATTCATTTAAGACAAAAAGAAAGAGTGAAAAAAATAAGAGCCTCATTGGATTTTTTTTTTTAAGTTAGAAGTTATTTATAAGTTAAAGCTGAAAAAAGAGATAAAAATTATTTGGTAATTACATAAAATATTCAGCTTAAAAGTTACTTTAAAGCACATATTTCAAAAAGACTATATCTCTGTTTCTATCTCTATAACTCTTCATTAAAAAAAGGAAAAGTTTACTGATATTCCTGTGATTTGCTTCAGAATCACTTATGTCCTTGTGGTTTTTTTATCACATATGCTCCTGTGTTTTGTAAAAAATAAAAAATCACAGGAACATACGTGATAAAAAACATCTTTTACAAATCACAGGAGTATATGTGATAAAAAAAAATTACAGAGACATAGATGATTCTGAAGCAAACCACAGGGGCATTGGTGAAGTTTTTCCTTAAAAAAAGCACACAATTCAAATAAAAGGGCTTTTAGCTTTTAGTTTTTTTCATTATAAAAAAAGAGATTTTCATTATAATTTTTTTTTTCAAAACCTATTTGGCATAACTTAGCTTTTAGCTTAAAAAAAATGATCCAAACAGGCATTAAGAGAAGTTTTTTTTATTCAAATATGTATGCAATTAATATATAATTAAATTGAATATATTTTTTTGAACTCAAAAGGAAGGAAGGTTAATTCTTATTCGAATTAAGAAAATTATCCATTCGTACAAATTCTTTGTTGCAAATCCAATCTTTAACATTACTAAAGTACCTCAATTTCTGATCTCCATATAGTTATAACTTGAATTTTTTTATGGGCTAAGATAATTTGTTTTATTTTTTTTAGAAAAATTAAGAACTTGCATTAAGGTTATCATATATTATCTTAATTAATTGTTGATTGTTTCTATATGAAATTTGTAAGTTTTAAGGCCCATTTTTTTTTAAAAAAAAGTTTGGTTTAAATTTAAAGTGTTACAAGGTACTAATGAACTTACGTTCTTTATATGCAGTAAATTAATGTTCATATGTTAGGTTTGTAGAATAATAGAAAGAGGCTTTCACAAGAAAAGAGAAAATTTAACAAAATCATGGGGCATAAACACCCTTGATATTATCAAAAGTTATTCACTAAATCACATAAAGGTGCTAGTTTGTACTTTGTAGGAATGCACTAAGACAACTTTTTCTTTTTGAATACATCTTTAAACTTTAAAAAGATTTCCTGTTCAGCTATCTAATTTTATTTTTCTGTCTCAAATTTTTTTGAAAAGCCTATTTGTCATGACAAGAATTATTCCTTTTTCCGTTCAATGGTACGATGATAATTTTTCATAAACAAATAAAATATAAGTGTAACAGAACTGTATAAAAAATAAAAACTCATTTATACTTATTAGTACCCTTGTCTAAAAATTACACTCATATTACATGTTTTATATTATGAATAAAGTACAACATGTATGGTAGAGGTACAAAATAATATAAGGAGGAGCGAAATTGCAGGTGTATTTTTTCTTATAAATTACATCTGTTTATATGATAAAAAAATATAATTAATGCTCACAAGCAGTGGGGAACCCAAGAATTGTTATGAGGGATGAAAATAAAACAAATATTATATTATAAATAAAAATATTTATAATACAATACAGACCTAAAATAAATAAATTTGAAAGAAATTTATTACAAAGATTAAGATGACTTCAGTTAACTCTTACTCTACTTGTTTTCATATTGTTAAAATTTTTTATAATTCAATTTGTGCTAAAACTCAAAATAATTTTTTTTTCAATGTATGTAATCAAAGAATCATTAAGAAATTGGTCTTCCATTCTATATCGATGCTTGCTCTTGAGTATCTTCATAGTTGAGAAAGCTCTTTAAGTAGTTATAACACCTCACATGTTTGAAATACAATATTAAAAGGTTTAATTGAGAATTAAAGGGTTTATTTAGTGAAAATTTAGAAATTCAGGTAAAAATACACTTGAAGGGCAAAATGATAATTTGACAAAATACATAACCCTAACTAGTGAAATGATATAATTAGACATTATTTGGTGACAATATGTTGAATTTGGATTCAAAACGAAATTTGAAAGTGGATAGACACTTTTCAGAAAAATTGATAAGTAATAATTTTTAACGGATAAAATATTGCAGTATAATTTTATTGGGAAACTCAAATGAGATTATTGTTCTAGGATTGAATTATGTAAAAATATCTAAGTCATGAATTATAAGAGAAATTTCAAGAAGGATAATTATGTAAATTAAATTTTAGATATTTTATAACTTTATACAAAAGTCAAATTTGGTGGCTTAACTTAGAAAATATCTTCTAAGTCATCTAATTAGCCATTTAGGCTTGTCTTTTTCTTGTTTCTTCCTCACTTGGCTGAACCTCCATGGAAGTATAGCTTGGATTTGCAACTTTTAATTTATTCATCAAATCAAGAAACTTTGGTAATCAAAACTCTATAAAGAAATCCTTGAGAAAGTGAGTGTGTGAAGAGAAAACTCACCTTGAAGGAGGCTGTTTTCATGGTGTCTTGAAGCACGGAGAAGTATTTTATTCCATTGGAAGCTTAAAATTCATTTTTTAGGTCATTTTGAAGACTTTTGTGGTGAGAAAACCTTACTTTCATCTTGTTTTAAGATGACTTAATATTTAGGTTTTCATGAAAGTTATAAGCTTGAATAGAGATGTTCAAGTGATTTTTGGACTTGGTAGTTGTTGGAAAGAATGATAAGGATTAAAAATTAGCAATGAAAATGTGTTCAAAATGTCATTTTGACAACCTTTAGAATTTTCGAAATTTTTTAGGACATAATGGATGTCTATGTTGGTGGGGTTGGTTGGAGAGGTTTAACGACTATGTCCCTTTGGAATTTAATGTTTGTATAGATAAATAATCGGTAGAAATCTAATAAAGATTTAAGTGATTTTGGTGAGAACACTTAGACAAATTTTCAAGGTGAAAGATTGATGACTTTTGAATGAAATGATGGATGGTGTAAATGGATTGGTGATTGTTTGAATCATAAATAATGAAGTTTAATAAGAGTTTTAAGCATGTGAATTGGTTGGAAATTTTTTGGTTCCTTGATGTTGCACCTTCGGCCATATAATAATTTTTAGGTGAAAATAGTGCAATTTGTGTTGTGACTTGATGGAGGGTGTATGAATGTATTGGTGATTTAAACTATTGCTAGAATAATTGAATTCATGCCAAATCTTCCTTGGACTCTTTAAGGATACCCTTGGCCATGTATATAACACCTCACATTTCTAAAACATATATTAATATATTAAATATGGATTAAATGGTAGGATTAGTGAAAATCCTGAAATTAAGACCAAAATACAAAGGAGGGGTAAAACGGTAATTAGTCAAACAAGTAACCCTAGGAAGGTAAAATTGAGTAGGAGGTCTCAAATGGAAAAACTAACCCTGGAAATGGATTCAGAACAAAAAATAGATTGGTTAGGCAAGTTTCTGAAAATTTGGTGAATAGTGTTTTTACCGGGTAAAAATAATGCGGTACAGTTGCACCGTAAAACGTGCCGAATGAATTTTAAGCTCTAAATTTGGATATAAGTTATAAATGGTACATAGGACTAGAAAATATGATTTCTGGTAAAAATTGATGGAAATTAGTGTGTTTGGGGACAGCGGCGGAGCCAGCAAGGCAGGTTAGCAAGTGGCAAAAATTTAGCTAGTGCCCAAATAACTACGGTTCTATGGCTACGACCAAAACGTGGCTAATTTTCAAAAAAATTGAAACAGGATTTGCTACGTTTCAAGTGTAGCTAAATGAACGTGGTTAAATAAGCCAGTGCCAAGGCCACTGTTGGCTCTAACGTGGCTCCGTCACTGTTTGGCAAAGCGTGCTTACAGCGCGCGTAACAGCTTAAAACTGCTATTTTTCCGAACGACCAACAAACTTCAGATTCATCTGATCAAGTGCAATTAAAGAACAATGGTTAATGTTAACAATTAGAGTTTCTAAATAGTTTATGAAATTATGGACGTTTAGCGGAATAGGCGGGAGATTTGAATTCATTTGAAATCGCGTGAGGTGGCGGTGGGGCCCACCTCACTTAAGTGACTTATGCCATTTGTCCCCCATCACTATTCACTCACCTCCCTCCCTTTTCTCTCTCAAAACCGTGCTTCTCCTCCCACCATAGCCATTTCCTTCTAAAAACTTCATCCCCTCATAACTCACTCAATACTCACTCAAATCCAACAAAGTTTGTCACCAAAGTTGAAGGAAATCATCATCCAAATACAACCATGGTAGTCTTGAGCCTTGAAACTCGCTATATTGGGAGAAAATCCACACTTTCAGCCGCGACCTTTGGAGGATTTTTGAGGTTTTTGAGTTGTGTGTTCAAGTCATTGCTTGAGTATCACTTAAAGGAGTCTTAGGCCAAGCTTGTGAGTAAGTTTCAACACATTTCATTGGTTGAATCATGGATTAGAAATTTTGTGACCTAGAGCTATTTTGCATGAATTGATGTAGTTAGAGAGCTCAAATTGAAATTGTGTATTAGATGAAAGTGGCTTAGAATAATGTTTTAGAGTGATTGATGTCATAAAAATTATTGATGAAATTGGATGATAACTTAGGAAAATTTTGTGTTGAAATGTCATGACTTTGTGAAATTGATGTGTTGAATGATTGTGTAATTGAGTTGTAGAGTAGTTGTATGAG